GAATGGTGGTGGGGTCTGGTGGTTTAAGCGGTGGAGGGAGGATAGGCTGATGGTTTGAATGTTTTAAAAATGTTTTTGAACTCATTTGAACGTTTTAAAAAGTTTGGGAGTATAATTGTAATTTATTTTTTATTTTTATTTTTTGTTTTATTTAAATATAAGGGTATATTGCTCATTTTACATTGAAAAATAGTGAAAATGACGTTTTCCGCAATGAAACATTGAAATAAAGACGAAAATGCAAAAGAAATGAAACGTATGGACGTTTTACGCAATAAGTGTCAAACGTAGGGACGTTTTGTGCTTAAACCTTTTAATAAGGCTTTGGACTCACTTGCACTTTTTAAAAAATTTGGGAGTATAATTACAAATTTTTTAATTTTTTGTTTTATTTATATAGAATGGTATATTGGTCATTTTACACTAAAAACAGTGAAATAACGTTTTCCCCAATGAAACGTTGAAATAATGGTGAAAATACAAAAAAAATGAAACGTATGGACGTTTTGCACACTACATGCCAAACATAGGAATGTTTTGTGTTATTAAGCCATAAATTAATGCTCCAATTGCACTAAAATATGGTATTTCAGGACCAATAACATTTTCTCCATCTTCATGTGGACGAAAATGATCATTTTCACATCAAGTGATTGAACAACCATAAGTGATGTTAATGGATGTGCATTGTCCATATAAAAGTGAGTTAAGACTTCTTCTGTATATGTAAATTGATGAACAAATAATCTTGTTAGAAAATGTTCAATTTGCAACCTGAGACAAAATTTGATTGTTCCCAAATCTTTCATCTCAAATTCATTTTTCACAAAATCTGCAATTTTGTTGAGCTCTTCAGGAGTCTCATATATATTATAATATTATTTTGAGGGTAAATGTCTTTTAAGTTATGGACATTAATCACACAAAGAATATGTCTTGTTAAAACCTTATTAGAAAAAACCCAATGGAAAAAATTCTAATAAAGGAAAAAGAGTGCATCATTCTTTTAAGTACGCTACAAGAATAGTCTCATTAAAAACTTTGTCAGGAAAATTCAATAGGACAAAATCTTTATCAAAGGAAAAAGAGTACAACATGTATTTACTCTCATCATGATAATATCACTTGAATTATGCTTCAAACATATTAAATATTTACAAAATAGTATCAAAACCATAAATTATTTATAATAAAATTATTACATGCATATCAAATTTCATGTATAGTCACGCTAATGATATAGAGACTTGTGATTACATCCACAGCATGATAATTTATCTATTTATACAAATTTTCTCGAAATTCAATATGTAAAAAGTCATATCATAATTTGTCTATAATCACATTTATTACATGCATATGAAATTTTTTGTATTGTCACGCTAATGAAATAGAGACTTGTGATTACATCCACCGCATGATAATTTATCTATTTATACAAATTTTCGCGAAATTCATTATGTAAAAAGTCATACATTTCATATTATGACTTTACTTTTTCCATCTTCATTTCGCATAAATATACTCCCTTATGTGTTTATATTGTACATCCAGAAACTTCATATTTTTCTAGTAAATTCTTTCACTGGGGTCGCATCATTTTATTTGGCAAATCATTACTTCGATCGATGACGAATTTATTTAAATATCCTCACTACTCATAACCAGCACTCCATCATGTGCAAAAGTGTTGTCGGCAACTTTTTATTTTTCGATTATATTCTTTTTTAGAATGATATACTTATTGAGATATCTCAATTTTCATTATTTCAGGTACTTGAACCTCTTCTGGAGTTTTCATCAAAAGTATATGCCTCCTTAATAATACGTTCTTTACCAATTGCTTCATTTTCGTTTGAATAATTTTGTAATATAATAGAATATTATTAAGTTTCAAGCGTGCCATAAATTTATCAAATATAATATTAACAAATTGTCCTTTCAGGAGTCAATTCGAGTTGGAGCATTTAAAATCGATGTGTGAGATTGTTAATCTCTTTGGTCATAAATGCATCTAAATGAATTATTCTTCGAACTTCTGGTTCGAATTGTCTTTTGCGAGAATTTAGATAATGATGTATTTGTACATTATTTTCAGCTTCTTAATTCCTCTCCCCTAATGTCGAGAGAATTGTCCAATCAAATTGACAATCATTTTTCCAACATTATAAAATATCACCCATTTGGAATAAGGGTGAAAGCTGCGCATTTATTCTCAGCATTCTTTAGTTTCCATCTCAGCGCATTGTAGTGAATCAATTTTACATATACTGCACTATCGAAATAATTTGATAAAAAACTAGACTCTCACCATAAGCCAAGTTATAATTGTGAGAACTATAATATTGCCATGATGCGTAATTGTTTTCCCTAAATAAAAATTGGAAGTACTTTGTTCTCAATTAAATTAAACGAGACGTTTAACAAGCAATAGTGTTACCATTTATCGACATCTCAACTAACACTTATTAAAATATTGAAATTTATGATAACTAGAATTAACAAGATACACCGTCTTGATTGCATAATCTGAAAATTATGCTCATAATTTGAGCAGTACTTTCGCAAACTTCAGGTTGCGAACACCATGCAATCATCTAATATTTATATCAAATCTATTAGACACAAATAATATTTAGATGGTCAATATGGAGGATGATGCGACCTCATTTATCACTCTAATTAGTTTTTAGAAATATAAGGAATTCAATCTCTATTTAGCTAGTAACGATAAATGACTAATTTTCAATAAAGAGAACAAATATCTAATATAAATTCTTTGGATTGCATAATTTCCTGGTTCTTCGCATAATTATTGATTCAGTGATGATCCAACTGGTCATGCCAAACAAATTGAACTTCTGGTTCAATATAATATTTATTTTAATTGTACCACAAATTTTAGAAACTTAGCATATTTCTCTTTTATTTA